ACAACTCCCACAATAGCTCTTTGACCCCCACACAAAGGCTGCAGTGTTTAAGAGCAACACCCCCCACCCAAATAAATAAATGTAATAAAAATATAAAAAGAGAAATCTTATTTCTGCTGGGCATGGTAGCTCATACCTGTAATCCCAGCACTCAAGAGGACTGTTCCTAGTTTGAGGCCACTGTAGGCTATAGAGTGAGTTTCTGACAGCCTAGGCTATAGACTAAGAGCCTGTCAGGGGTGGGGGTGGGGAGATACTAACAAAATGATTTCTACGTCTGATGTAGCAATGATTCAAAAGGTTAAATAAGATTGCTAATGCCAGGTGGTGATGGAGCACGCTTCTGATCCAAGCACTGGGGAAGCAGAGCCAGGCAAATTTGAGTTCGAGGCCAGCCTGGTATACAGAGTGAGATCCAGGACAGGCACCAAAACTACATGGAGAAACCCTGTCTCGAAAAACCAAAAAGAAATTAAAAAACAAACAAACAAACAAAAAAAAAAACCTAAGATTGGATTTGGTAAGATGTTTTCTTTCTTTCTCTTTCTTTTTTCCTTTTGAGACAGGCTCTCTCTATGTAGTCCTGGCTGTCCTGGACCTCACCATGCAGACCAGCCTGGCTTCAAACTCAATCCTCCTGCTAGTCCCCCAAATGAGGGTTAAAGGCACGTGCCACCACACCCAGTCTGCAAGAGGTTCTCAAGCACTGGAAGGCTAGAAAGCAAGACCACTCTTTCCTCATTAGACAGAATCCAAATCACGTAAGAAAAACCACAAAACACATGCTGCAGCTCCAAGCGTGATGGCACACACCTGTATCCTAGTTTTCTTTCGGTAGAGACTGAGGTGTAGTGGTACACACCTGTGATCCCAGCACTGGGAAGGCTGCGGCAGGAGAACTAAAAGTTCAAGGCTACTGGGCAAAAAACGGACAGATCCTAGCTCAAAAAACTGAGGAGGGCCGCAAATGACTAAACAGAGAAGAATTACCAAAATAGCTATTATGTTTTCATCCCTCAACGTTTTTATAAACAGAGTCGTTTGTGATTACAATTTTAAACTGCATTTATAAAAGTCATTTTTTTTTGTGCCAGGCGGTGGCGGCGGCGCGCGCCTCTAATTCCACTCTGAAGCATAGGCAGGCAGATCTCTAGTTTGACGCCAGTCTGGTCTACAAAGCGAGAGCTACACAGAGAAACCCTGCTTCAAACAAAACCAAACAAAACAAAATTCATCTTCTGTCTGCAGCCATTCGACCCTGAACACACGCGACCTTTTTAAAAGCCATCTTTCCAGCTAGGAACATAGTCTCAGTTCTTAAGAGGGCCTAGCATTTGTTCTCAATTCAGTATTGTACAAACTGCTGTTTGGCACTTGGGTGTTATGTGTCCCAAATAGGCCACAGTATAAACTTTACTGCTCTGTTCTCATTTTTAATGTCACAAACAAACAAAAACCAAAACAAAACAAAACCCCACGTAAAACAGGTTCTCTCCCTGTTTTAGAAATATTTAGAAGAAACAGACTCTCCGGTAGAGAGGAGGGAACTGGTCTTGGTTCCTGAAATCACAGTTTAGAAGCGGGGAGGGGGTGGGGTGAGGGGCACAATTTGAGATTTGTTTAAAAGGAATATAGAAACGCTGCAATGCAAAAGCATTTACTTTCTAAGATTATCTGGAAATTATAAAGTCTCAGAACTAGACTAACAAAAATAAACGCCAACAGGCTTTTCCACAGACAAAGCCTAATGACACAGTAGTCGAAGCGTTCTAAAGCAGCAAAAATTTAACTTAAAACTCTTACAGGTTAGAATGTCCGGGCCACTGCTTTGCACAAACAGGCAAACCCCTCCCAGTTTCTTAAATGTGCCAAGACACAAGTCCCAGTGACAGAGGCTGTCCGCGCAAAGCCCGAGTCCCATCTGGATTGCAGTCATTTTATAAATGGCAAGATATCTCACACACACACACGCACGCACGCACCCTTGGGCTTATTTTAAGGCTCGTTTTGAATGTGCACTTTTCTGGGTATGCTGATTACCAGAAAAATGGCCTCTATACCTTAGATATCTAATTTGATTTTGGAATATTTCTTTAGTGCCATACTATCCATTAGAAGTCCTCGTCCGTCCCCCACCCTGTTCCCACCCCACCCCATCCCACCCCCCTGACTTCCAGTTATTTTTAACCTGACAGATGGAATTAACAGGCAAAGAGGCAATAACGTGCGGTGCTAAAATGAGTTCAACCTATTGCACCGTCACTCAAAAGACCACTGGGCAGACGGGGCGCGGACGACAGGGCAGGACTCATCAAGGCGCCCACCAACCTCTCGCCCAGGCCCACCACTCTCTCCGGAACAGGGACGCCGCCGGCCGCTGCAGACAAGAGGCTCACCTCTGCAACTCCTCCTCCTGGATCCTCTCCTCGTCCCAAACGAAGACACCCGCGAGCGCCGCCATCAAGGCAGAGACATGGCCGGGGGGGCCGCGCAGCCGGCGCCAGAGGCGTCCGAGGAGGACGCAGCGCGAGCTCTCGGAATACAGGCGGCCGTAGAGCTGCGCGATCTGCTGAGCTCGCCGCACGCGCAGGCCCGTCACGAAGCGACACTGATTGGCCAGCGCGGCCAGCAGGCCCCCGCCCCGCGCGCCCGCCAGCCAGGCGGCCAGGGTGGCCGGCGGCCTCCGCGGGAACATAGCGGCCTCTGCGGGCGCCCTCGCCCGCCGCTAGGCCCCGGAGAGGACGGGCTGGGGAGTCCGCGGAGTCCCCTTAACTGGCCGGCCCCGAGCCCGCCTCACGCTCCCGAGGCCGGGGGCCACCCCTCATGCCTCTCTTGCAGAAGCCGCTGTGAGGCGCGAGTGGTGGATTCTGGGGAAAGCGCCGCTGCACGAGGCCTCCTCGGTTCCGGCGACCCGCTGGTCTGCGTGGACGGCGGAAGCTCTAGGGTCCCCGCATCCGGTGCGCGGGAAGGAGAGAGGTGGGCGTCCCGGGCCGCGGCCGAAGAGGTCCCGAGCGCCCGTGTCCGCCCCTCGCGCCGAGCGCGCGCAACCGAACCTGTCGCCTCTGTCCGCGCTCTGATTGGACGCAGCCCGGAAGCCTGGGCGCTCATTGGCCAGGGCAGAGTGTTCATCCGCCGGGGCTCCCGGCCGCTTGTCAGCAAGCTAGGTGGCACGGCACGATGGCCCGTCAAGGGCGCCCGGAAAGTGACCCTCGGACCCTGGCGCGGCCGCCATTCAGAGACGTCCCATCCTGCCTGGCGGAGAGGTGCGGTCAGGTGTGATGTTCCATTGTGCTGAGAGGCCCGCCCTGTTGACCCGCCTCTACAGTCCAGGGAGGGGCGGGTCTGCGCTGGGTGGAGGGCGGTGCATGCCCTACGTGAACCGGGACCCAGCACAGGCTGGGGGGCACCTGCCGCCGGAACCTTCCAGGGTCTCCTAGTCGGGACCCTTCGAAGTCTCCTGAATGTCTGCGGCCGGGACGCGGTCCTGGGTTCCGGCTTCGAGAGAGGACCAGTGGCCCATCCTTAGGGCCGAGGAACGCCACACGGGCAGGTGACCTGTTGCAATCTGAAAACGGGCTAGTCCTTGCTCTCCAGTCTCCATTTGACGCGAAGGAGGCGACAGGGTGGGAAAGTAGGCAAGTTTCCCAAAACATACCCTGCCATGTGCAACCTAATGGTTTCTAAATGGAGTCTCTGGATAAATCACTGTTCTAAAATGGGGCGTGGTGGCTCCTGCCTGTAATCCCAGTATTCTGGCGGCTGAGATGGGAGCTTTGCTTCGAGGCCCAGGCCAGCCTGGGCAACAGTGTGTCTCAAAAGTAAATAATTAAATAAAATGTCTGTGTCCAATCTTAAGGTGATAGTGAGAGCTATCCCCCAAGAAGCTTTACACTAAGTTGTTTCTGTGCCGTCTTTTAAAAAAATTTATAAGCCGGGCGGTGTGGTGCACACCTTTGATCCCAACACTCAGGAGGCAGAAGCAGGTGGATCTCTGTGAGTTCCAGGATAGCCAGAGCTACACACAGAGAAACCCTGTCTACAAAACCAAAACACAAAAAAAACTTTATACTTAAGAATCTTATTAGGTGGGCGATGGTGGCACACGCCTTTGATCCCAGCACTCGGGAGGCAGAGGTAGGCAGATTACTGTGTGTTCGAGGCCAGCCTGGTCTACAAAGCAAGTTCCAGGACAACCAGGGCTGCTACACAGAAAAACTCTGTCTCGGAAAAACAAAACAAAACCTTGACAACAAATATTGTTAGAAGGTTTTAACACGGCAAGCTGTGGTGGCTCACGCTTTTAATCCCAGCACTTGGGAGGCAGAGGCAGGTAAATCTCAGTGAGTTTCAGGCCAGCCTGGTCTACAGAGTGAGTTCCAGGACAGCCAGGGCTGTTACACAGAAATCTTGTCTCGAGAAAAAGGGGGGAAAAAAGGTTTTAACACAACACAATTTGCCCCATGGTGAATGGAAAGCCAACTGGAGACCTGTTTGGAGCTGGTAAAGGATGTAGAAATATAAAAGAGTCTTTTCGGTCAAACACAATAAAACTTGTATTTAGGACGAGAAATTAAGACCTTTCATCTCCCCCACCCTGGCAGACTTTCATACAAACGTTTTAATCCTGCATCCAGTAAAGCCTTTGTTTACACAGAGGCCCACTGCTCTAGTCCAGGAGCAGGGGCTCCTTTCCCCTTCATGCATTTCCTGGGTGCCAATTCTTTTGACTAGCCAATTGCACGAGACTGTGAGGCTGGCCCTCCGCCAATGGAGAACAGACACAGCTGCCACCTGAGTTAGAACAAAAACCAAATGCACTTCCTATGTGTGTTTGCTTCAGATTGCACCCTCTTGAGCAAGAGCAAAGTGTGCCTTGTCCAGACACTTTAGTTCAGTGGCAGTCTTTCTTTGGGACACTAAACTTTTTTTTCCCGAGACAGTGTTTCTTGTTGTAGCCCTTGCTGTCCTGGAACAAGCTCTGTAGATCAGGCTGACCTCTGCCTCCAGGGTGCTGGGATTAAAGGCATGCGCCACCACTGCCACCACTCGACTGACCCAAAACATTTCTAACAAGGAGAACCTTCGGACAGCTCTCAAAGCAGTTTCTTCAAACAAGGGAAATTGGGGGGCGGGGGAACGACTTGTATATTTATACTGTAACACTTGCCGTTCTGTCTGTAGGTGGGCATGTTCCTGTAGTGCCAACTCCTGCTTTTCCTCACAGAACAAGTTTTAAAATGGCAGAGAAGTCTGCTGTGATAGCTCCTGCCGGTAACCAATCCCAGCACTCAGAAGGACTGCTTCCAATCCTAGGTCATTCTGGGCTGTGATGTGAGACCTTGTTGCAAAAGACACAAAGCAAAGCTGTTGGGGAGCACAGCCTAGAAGCAGAGAGTTTAACAGACAAGGAGCAAAGTTGACTCGAATTGCCTAGGAGATGGACTGAGCAGCCCTCCAGTAGTCTACTCTGCTGCCAGCAGGGGGCAGCAGCTTCCCCCTGCCTGTAAACAAGAAACTTCCTTACACAGGATTTAGGATTTTACTTATACCCTCACCAGTGTGTGCTATCTTAAGATATTTGTACCAAAATAAACTTTTCTCCAAAGGTTGGGGGAGAAAGATGTTTTCTGGGGACTGAAAGCCAGGCCTCTTCTGCCCGATCTGGGCTGAATTTAGTTTAGAAATTGGTATTGTGTTTATTTCTTCTTGAGAGCAAATTAAGGAGAAATTTGTAATAGAAAATAGTAGTGGCCTCCTGAGCAATGAGAAGATTGGACTTTGCTGCTGTCCTGCTTTTGTTGATTGACAGGAACCATTGAGGTCTGCAAAAGCCCCAACCTATCCATGGTTTGGGGTTGCTATCTGCCTCATAAAGCAAAGTGGAGGAACTGTCCTCTGGAAAGACAACGTTGTCTTCTCCTTTGAAAAACCTCCCACATAATTGGCTTGGATGTCTTTCCAGGAATATTGGGGTCTCACGAGGAGTAAGAGATCAAGAGAATACAGCAGTTGCAACTAGCAAGTGCTGAGGGTATTTACCTCCACAACATGCATCTTCCAGAGAAGAGGATAATCTTAGCAGCTAAACACTTAAAATGTTTTCCACCATTCAAGATTACAGCCATCAAGACCACATGCCCCAAACAAGGTTCTTTAAAATGCTTAAATCTTTTAAGATGGAAAACAAGTTCTTTAAAATTTCCAAATAATTTTATTCTAGCACCAAGGGCTTCACTGATACTGGATACTTTATCCCAGTAGTTCTAGAACTAAAAATCGAGGAAGCCAGAAAGATAGCTGAGCAGTTAAGAGTGCTTGCTGCTTTCTTCCAGAGCTCAGTTCTCACCATACTGAGTGGCTACAAGGACTTGTAACTCCAGCTCCAGGAGATCTGATGCCATCTTACGGCTCCTGTGGCACTCGCACACATATGGCATATTCTCATACAGACACAAATTTAAACAACAAATCAAAGAAAGCTGAGGGGCTGGAGAGGAGCTCAGTGGATGAAGCACTGGTTGCTCTTCTAGGCTTGGTTCCCAGCACCCACATGGTAGCTCACAACTGTCACTCCTGTCCCAGGGGATCTGACACCTTCCTCTGGCTTTCTTGGGGAGCAGGTGTACACATGGCACATGTGCATACATGCAGGCAAACCACCTATACACATAAAATAGTAGTGGGCCAAGTGGCCTTCTGGGCAGGCAGAACTTATGAGAATGCTGCCTTCTGTTCAGGGGCCCGCTCAAAACTGACAACTTGGAGTATTCAGAAAATGGATCAGAGACGAATCCAATGAGTTGTGTGCTGCCTCCAAATGCAAAGTCACTAGGCACTGTTAGGGAATAATCTTTTTGTACACTGTGAAGATTTGTCACT